GGCGCAACCGCCTGCGGCAGTCGGGCTTTCGGGATGAGCGAGCTTTTGAGTTGGGGGCTGGCTGGGAGTTGTGGGGGCAGGATGGGGCTTGGAACGCCACCTGCTGTCCTTGTGAATAAGGTTCGAAGCTGGCTGTTGCGGTACATCATTCGGCAGGTGTCAGCGAATGACTGCTGTTGTTCACACACACGCAGTCACTACTCGTGTGTGCCAATAAGCGATGTTTGGCAGCACGGCACTGGAATTGTGCGGTGACCAATTGGCATGCATACACACATGCACATGCAGTGCCAGCCACTACAAATTTCTGACAAGCTCCCAGCTGAATGCATCTCCACCAAAGCAGTCTGCCTCTCATGACCCTGAACACCTGTACCCAAACGGTGTCCAAACGTTGAACATCGAACCTATAAAGCAAGTTATGAAAACTTGTACAAGACGTCAAGACCTTTGATATGATCCAACGTTTACACGGCAGGGTTGTTGCAGATGTGCAAGGTAGTGACTGGCCCCAGCCATTGCAGCTCTGGGCTCCGCAAAGGCCCCCAGCCACCGCCGGTGACCAAGGCCCCGCCGCTCGCCAAACGCCCCTCTCGCACGCCCTGCAGCCTGCAGAAGGCCCCGCGCGCCCGGCCAGAGGTGCCTCCAGGACTTCCTGCCGGTGCGGCTACTTGAACTTTTTCTTCCCGGTCTCCTGCCAGTCGCGCACCCGGTCGTACACCTCGTCCATTTTCGACAAGTCCACGTACTTCACCGTACGCGCCGCCTCCTCCGCCGCCTTGGCCTCGGCCGCGTCGATCACGGACGCATTGTGCAGCAGGTCCAGGCCGCCGCCCGCGCCGCCGCCGCTGTACGGAGCAATTTAAGGGACGTGGATGGTTGGGGAGGCCGCTTCGTGAATGGTGGGGCTGCGCGGATGCGCATGCCAATGTTTGCAACGCGTGTGCTGACACTGCGGTAGGGAGCGCTGCCGGCACCCACATGACAACACTAACGCGTATGCAGAGCCAGCAAACCATATGCCTGACCACCGCCCAGCCTCGTTACGCATCGAAAAGCAACCCTCCCATTGCTTCCTGGTCCCAGGCGTACGCACCCGCCCTTGCCGCCCTTCTTTTTCTCCTCTTTCTGCTGCCGCCGTCCCGCCCGGTCCTTTTTCGGGTTCTTGCGCCGCGCCCCGCCCACTGTGTTGACGGCCGGGGCCGGGGGTCCCCGCACCGCGGGCGTGCCGCCGCCCCCGCCGCCGCCGCCGCTGGCCGCCCCGGCGCGGGGGGCGAAGGCAAATGTGCTGCGGCCACCCTGTGTTTTTGAACGCATGGAAGCATCAAACGACATGCCGCAGCTATGCAGACAAGCCATGTCTCATGTCCTGATTATGTCATTTGTGGAGCCTTCAAGACCCATTTCGCATCTGGAGCACACTGCCCCCAACCATGCCCCCCCCCCCACCTTGTGTGCCCGCGCCTGCTTGACCACGCCGCCGTCCGCCTCGTCGTCCTCAGCTCGCTGCTGCTGGCGCCGCCGCCACCAAAGCCAGCCTGCAAAGGCTCCTGCTATTACTACGATCGCCGCCGCGTTGGCCTGTCCTGCGGAGCGCTCACGCGCCACAGCAGCACGCCGCTCTCTGCTGATGCCGCTCTCCGGCTCGTCTGCAGTGGCTGCGGCGGTGCTCGTTGATGTGGTTGTCTGTAAACCCTGTGCAGCTCCAATTGGCCGCGTCATTGTGGCCGCGGGCTGGCCGTAGGCCGCTGGGCGATGATGGAGATGTTTGCGGTTGCTGTTTCGAGCTCGCGTGTCCGTCGAGTGATATATATAGCTCAACTGTTTTGTGGTGAGTTGCGGCAAAGGCAAAAGCACAAGTCTACCGGATGATCAACAAAGCTGAGATCAGCGAAAATGCATCAGAGGCGCAAAAGATTCATATCTAGCTTATGTAATAGCAGACATGTTTGTGTCATACCGATTTTCTTGCTGTTCGTGAACTCAGGTGGCGGTCAACCCGTCCACCACCTGGGCCGCTCGGTCGCACGGACGCTCAGCCTGCGTTCGGCTGGATTACACAACGGATTAACTAATTTACAATTGCGAAAGCTGATGTGTGCAAGATAGACGATCTGGCAAGGGTCGATGAGGGCTCCGGAGGGCGTGTAGGGCTAACATGACGCTACCAGAATCACCTTTGGCTGGATTGCGCCGTCGCTTGGAGGCCAGGCGGCCCCTCTCCGCGTCGGATGGTCTGGTTGCCAGCGAAGCGGCGCACGTTGATGCCAGCACTGCAGGTGCGCAGCACAGATACGCGTGCTCGGTGGGCTTCTGGCGATGCATCTGCAATGCTTGCGTGCTACAACATTTGTCAACTTCCAAAGCAGTCCAATCACCATTCGCTGTGCGGCAGCTGCGGTGTGTCCGTGTCCAGGCGCTCATCTGCCAAAACCACCCCTGATGACTTGTGACACTGTTTCGCAGTCGGCCACAACTGGTCGCACGATGGCAGCACAGAAAACGCGGCGGGAGTTGACGGGAACGCAGCGGGCAGCGGGGATGACGAGGCGCAAGGAGAGTATGCAGGGCAGCAGCTGCTCCTGGCCGACCTGGTGTCATACGACGGCTGCCAGAAGGTGAAAGGGCAGCAACCAGTCAGCATCTGCCATGCTGCCTACCACAAACCATGCTGATTCATGGGCTCCATCGACGGCTCCAGAGGCTTGACATTAAATCAAGGGGTCACCCGCCCCTTTTGCAGCACAGCCGCTTGCCCAGCTGCACCCTCAGGCTCTGGGGTTGTGTAGCTTGGTGCCGCGAGCCCTCACAAAAGCAGCAGCGTTCCCTGTGTTGCATGCGCTATGCTTGCCTAGCGGCACTGCAGCTAGGAAAGAAACATGCAGCCCGCACACCGTCCAGCGTCGTCACTCTGCTCTTGCAGGCCGTACTGCCGGACCCGGAAGCCGAGGAGCAGCTGTACCTGCGCTTCTCGGTGGACCGCCTCGGACGCGCCCTGCCCAGCGCGGCGCGCGCCGCTGCAGATGCGGCGGGGCGGGAGCCAGAAGAGGAGATCGGGCTGTTTGTGGCGCCGCGGCCGCGGGTGGGTGGGCACACACACACGCGGGATGCGAGCGCCGGGCACTGATCAGCTTGAGCCAGCAGCAGCAATGGTCCCTCTTTGTTGTTGCTGCTGCTTCTGCTGCTGATTCAGTTGCAGCTGGCTGGCAGCAGCGATGCCCTTGCTGCCCTTTCGTGGGTGCAAGCCCATCTCCCCACTGGGTATCTAACATTCAAGAGCTGCACCGCCGCCGATGTGCCGCCGCTGGGCCGTGCGCTGAATTCTGCACAACCTCGTCAGATCAACAATTCGTCGCTGTACAAGCTTGAGCAGCGCCTGTCCAAGGCTGTCACCATTGATGCCGCTGCCCTCACGCGCCACGTGGCCGCGGGCGGCGCGCTGCCCGCGGCGCTGCCGGCGGCCGCGGTTGCGGGGCGGCGGCGCGGGGTGCCGTGGTGGTTTGGGGCCAATGGGCTGCTGGCCTGCGAGCCCTGCCCCCTGAAGGTGCGACGGTGTGTGACAGGGTCAGCCGTTGCGTGCGGCCTGCTTGCTGCACAGTAGCGCCTGGAAGGACTGCACCACTTCCACAGCTGTATGTTTTGCGCAGCCCCGGCTACCCTGGCACAGCTCATCCCCCTTTCGAAGGATGGTGTCTCGAGCCTGCCCCCTCTTGCCCAGTTTTGACTTTGGTCTTGGACCCAATATACGCTTGCCTCGGACTGAAGCAAACACCTCACATGACATATTTTACCCTCACAATTTGACGGGTGACGACCCAATCGCATTTTCAGGCGCACAAGGAGCGCCCCGCGCGGCGCTGGGACCAGGACGCCCCCCGCACCGACACCGCCTACCTTCCGGCCGCGGTCCGCGCCGGCGGGCGCGAGGAGGAGGGGCGCACCTACCGCCTCGACATCCAGATGGGGCCGCTGGAGTTTGCTGCGCACCCGATGATGGGGCGGGAGCAGCAGCTGGTGGGTGCAGGGGCGCAGCGGGAGCTGCAGTCGCTCGGCAAACACAAGCCGCGGCTGCTGCAGGGCAAAGACTTGTTCTGCCATCGGTCGCCCACCTGCTCTCTCACCCAGCACGTGCCATCGCACTCAGTCATGGCGTCACGCGAGCTGCGCTTTGCGCCGCGTTCGTCGCGTCCTGTTCCGCGACCTCGACTCGACCGCCGCGCACTTTTCGCCGCCCCCCAACTAGGCCGCCAAGCTGCTGTCGATGTTCAGGGAGTTGAAGCGGCGCCAGGCTGTCGGGCTGGGCCCCTTTTACGGGCGCAAGCTCGCCGCCCTGGAGGATGCTCTGCTGGCGGCACGCGAGGCCCTGTTTGCTGCCCAAGACCTGGAAAAGGGCGGCGGCTGCAGCGGCGGCGGCGGCGGCGGCGACAGCAGCGGTGGTGTCGGGGGCAGCAGCGTGGCGGAGCAGCGGCGGGCGTCCCGTGGGGCGGCGGTTGAAGGGGCGGCTGCGTCGCCCCAGCGGCAGCAGCAGCGGAGGCAGCAGGGGGCACGGGCCGGGGCGGCGGCAGAGGACAGGGTTGGCCGTGATCAAGGCGGTGGCAGCGGCGATGCCTGCGACGGCGGCGAAAAAGACAGCAAGGTGGGCGCTCTGCGAGGGGACGTGCTGTGGTGTGTGTGTGTGTGCGCCCTTTTGGCGCTGACCTCTATCTCCTCAGCTGCTCCACACAAGCGTCCCGTCAAGGATGTTGACTCACAGGCACCAACCCTGCCACTGTCAGCTGGTGTCTCGCGCTTGACTGAGCAGCCCACACACCACCTCAAGGCCTGACCCCGCGCCCATTCACTCGCCTTTACAAACAAAACAGGTCCTATGGCTGGCCGGCCGCCTGGCGGAGCTGGAGCGCGACGTGGCGGAGACAAGGCAGCTGGCAGAGGAGGAGGCGGAGCTGCTGAATGGCACGGCGGCTGCGATGGGTCGAGTCTGGAAGCAGCTCCTGCAGGTGGGTCTTGATGGGGGTTGGTGAACGTCCTTGTGCGTGCTGCGGAGTCATGGAGTTTTGTGGGTTCTTGTGGATGTTACGCAGCTGACTGGGTTCTGGTGGGTTTGTCAATGGAGGCGAAGGCCAGAAGGGGAGAGCGCACTGGCCGTACTGGTGGCATAGGTGAGTTTTGCTCACAGGCGGTCTGTCACAAGAGGCAATGCGCACGTCTCGGCAGCCGTGCGCAGGCCCCGTTCCCACCTTTGCGCCCTGATGGGTCGGTGCCCCGCCCCAAAACCCTGGCCCCCACCTGGCCGCAGGCACGGATGCAGCAGGGGCGCGCCCTAACAGACATCCAGTTACACCTGGTGCAGCGCCCCCACGAGGACGACACACCCACGCAGCAGGTGCGTGTATTTTTGCAGGCGCCGCAGGACGCCGGCGTCCCGCCCCGCACGCCGCCGGGCGCCCCGGGGGATCCCTGTGCCGTTATGAAGAAGTGCGCTGCCACCCCAGGCCCCCGCCGTTTTTCGGGCGCGCCTGATATCCCGCCCAGAAACTGCGAGTCATGTGTTGAATGTCATTCAAGACAACAGGCATTGCTCCGAATGACACGGTCGCTGGGGCTGCCGTGCGCAGGACGGCCTGACGCGGCGAGACCTGGATGTTGCCCTGCTGGTGGCAGAGGCAGAGCCGATCCTCGGACTGCCGGACTGGCCGGCGCCGCTGCCGCGCGACGAGGAGGCGGCGCCCGAGGGCTTCGCGCTGCGGCGCGTGGAGGCGGGGTGCGAGGCGCACGCGCTGGCGGTGGCAGGCGCGGCGTCGCGGCTGGCGCTGCTGAAGGTGGGGCGCATGGTGTGAAAGGGGCGAAGTGCGCGCGCAAGTTTGTTTCATTTCTACGTCTACCTTGGGTATAGGAAGTGCAGGCCCGCACATGCTCGTGCTTCAAGTTGCGCGTGCATGCACGCGCCTGCAGACAGGCTCGCGGAGATGCCCTTCGGTGCACTCATGCCCGTGCATGGACACCACGCGTGTGCACCCTACCGCCCGCCCCCCCCATCCCACACACACACCAAACCCCTACGCACCATCTTTCCCCACCAGAGCCGTGTCTCAGCCGACCCCGCCGACCCCGAGGTGGCCGCCCTGGAGGCGCGCCTCGCCCTGCTGGGGCCCGCCCCAAGGCGCGGCCCCGTCACCCAGGAGCAGGCCGCGGCGGCCTGGGCGCGGGCAGAGGCCGAGGTCGCTGCGGGCCGGGTGAGGCTTTGGTTGCGGCTGCCGGGAAACCAAGGGGATGGTGCACAGCTGTCAATGGGCAACGGGAGTACTGAGTACGTGTGTACAGCTGACGTTGGGCTGTTGGATTGTTGACATGGACCTGTTCAAGCAAGGCCATCAGCCCAACCACAATGGAGAGCACGGCTCTAGCTTCAGTGTGGCGCAGCACCAAGCGGCAAGGCCCCTGCTCTAGTTGACGTTTTCCTGTTTCGCAAACCCACGCACGTTCAACACGCAGCCGGGCGTGGCGCGCGCCCCGCTCTTGGAGCCCGTGCTCTCTGTCGGCGCCGCCGCCGCAGGCGGATGCGATGCGGGGCCGCCGCGCGTCCAGGGGCCGCGCTTCAGCGGGCGCTGCAGGTTAGAAGGGCCAAGACGCCGCGGCGGGTCAAGGGGCACCAGGCTTGACCGGGAGTCACCTTCAAGCGAGGAGCACGGGTTGCGCTGCGCGTCGCCCTTCATGATGCTGTCCGTGAAATCATCACGGTCAATTCGCCAAGCCGCCTAGCCGCATGACCGTGTGTGACGTCACCAAGGGCTGGTCTGGCGGTGATGACACGCGCTCCGCAGGTACTACTCGCGCCTGGTGATCAACGGCAAGGGGGTGGGAACTTCCCAGGTGTTATCCATGCAGGATGACTTCACGGTGGACTTCAGGGACCTCTTCAGGTGCGCGCGCGCCACTGCTTGGAGCGCCTGCCTGCAGCGCGTGCGTTTTTCCAAGAGCAGCACAAACATAAATGCTGCATCGTCTTGTTGATGTATGGATGTTTCACAGCGGTTTTGTCTGCTCACCAAATCAGCATCCAGATTGCGGTCTCCAGCTTTTCGCGCCTTGTCACTAAACAAGGCGGCTGCTCGCCCCCTGACTTTGTCACCTCCGCCTGCCCTGTCCCACATGCAGCGTACGACTGCTAAAATGGCCGGACTCAGTCCGGCTGCAGCTCTGGGAGCGCGGCGGCCTGACAGACCGCCTTGTTGCGTCCGTCTTCCTGGCAGTCCCGGGTGCGGGCGGCACGCCCCACGTTGACCCCCAGCCAAAGGCGTTCAGCTGGACGAGCCCCGACCCCGCGCCGCCCGCCGAGCTCGCACGCGCAGCAGCAGCCGCGGCAGAGGGTGGTGCGGGCGGGGACGAGGCGCCGGGGCGGCGGGCGACGGCGCCGGCGCCGGCAGGCGAGCCGATGTACCCGTCTGGGGTCGTTTTCGTGCGCAGCGGCTGGGTGCCGGAGGGCGGCTTCGAGGCCGTCGGGTGCGGCGTGTACGGCGGCGCGCTCGGCGGCGGCGGCGGGCGCGGCGCGGAGGACGACGTTCAGGGGGACGCGGTTGCGACACTCACGTTGGTGCAGCCGTTTGGCGGGACCAGCACTGCTGCGCACACAAATGGGGTGCCCGGCGCGGCTGCTTCACCATCTGCGCCGTCCTCGCCGGCCGGCGGGGCGTGGCGGACGTACAACAACCCCCTGTCGGCCTTCGAGGACGACCGCGGCGGCGCCAAGCAGCCGCTGCCTGGCTGGCCGGCGCACGACGCCGGCGGCGGCCGCCTGCCGGCCGCGCTCGACGCTGCTTCTGTGGGCGCCGGCGGCGTCATCAGCGGACGGTCAACAGCGGCGGCGCCGCGGATGCGGCACAACCCTGTGGCCGACCCGCAGCCTGGGCGGCGGACGGGGTGGGATCTGGAAGTTGGGGCGGTGCTGATGCCGCCGCAGCCGGCGATGAGCGCAGAAAAGGCGCTGAGGCGCGCCGTAGGAGGCGGCTGCCAGGTGGGGTTGGGCGCTCTGCTGTTTGTCAGCTACTGCGCTGCTGCAAAGCGTTGTGACCCCCAGCCCGGCTGCACTCCATGGGACCATACCCCCCATCAGCCTTGCCATGCTTTTGGTTTCTTGGTCGGCTTGCACCAACACGACAACTCAAGAGCCGAACATGTGGCTGGGAGCGTCATGGGGTTGCTTCGCTCACACGCCACCACATACACGCCTGCTGTCTCGACCCACGGCTCGCTCCGCACCTCGCCTCCCCTTTTGCAGGCGTCCCGCGCGCGTGCGGCGCGGTGGCTGCGGCGCCACGCGCCGCTCGACCCGAACGACCCCCGCAACGCGCAGCTGCTGGAGCTCCTCAGAGCGCAGGAGGCAGGAGTGGCGGGCGGCGGGGAGGTGGGCGCGGGGTCCTGCCTCAGCGGGGGCGCGGGTGGGTTGTGTTCCCGCTCGCGATGCTCCCTGCAACCCCGCTTAGCGCAGCCGCCGATGCCAGCCGCAGCCCCCATCAACCCTTTCACCCACCAAAACCTCTGCACCGACCCAACCCTCTGCATCCCCTCCCTTCAGGGTCCCCCGGACCTGTTCCGCCCCGGCCTGCTGCCAGATTTGGCGATGACGTCAGACCGGCCCTGCGACCAGCGCGCGGCGTTCCTCCGGCGCCGCTGGGAGGCGGGGGCGTTCCGGCAAACGGATGGCGCGCGAGGTGGGGCGGCGCGATTGAGGGGCAGGGCAGCGTGCACGGTTTGCGGCCCGGGCTGGGGCAGTGAACGAGGGCATGCCCCGTCGCTGACGTCCTTACCAAGCCTTGCCCAGAGCAATTTTCTCGGGCGGCGTGCGCGAACGCTACAGCTGCATAGCACGGATGCATACGCAAGCACCGTACAAACAGCCGCACACTTGTGGACCTCAGGTCTTGCGCCGCGCCCGTCACGGCTTCCTCGCCCTCGCCTCGCGTTCTTTTGGTCGCAGGCGGCGCCGGCAGGCTGGTGGCGCCGCTTTCCTCCAGGGACACCCTAGACCAGCAGGACGCGCACATGCAGGCCCTTGCCCGACTGGAAGCTTCTGCCCTGGGCCTGCCGACCCTGCACCAGCCGCATCTGGGCGGCGCCGACGTCAGCGGGGCGGGGGCCGGGGAGAGGGCGGCGGCGATCGGCGGGCTGCTGGTGACAGGGGGGCGGCAGGAGCGGGCGATGAAGTGGGCACACGGGGCGCTGGCGCGGGCGCTGGAGGAGCGGCAGGAGCGCATCAGGTGGGGCGCGGCGGCCGCTTGCTTGCAAGAAAACGCATAAACTGCTTCCTTGAGCATTGTTGTGGAGAGTCGACGCTTGGGTCTATCTGGAGCATCCGCTGAGCTGCGGATCTGGCCAACTGCAGGGACTTCGCCCTCCGCCTGCGCGCGGCGGGCGGCGGCGGCGCGGGGCCGGGGCGGGGCGCAGCGCGGCGGCTGCGGACGGACGACGTCGTGAAGGACGCGGCGCTGCCCGAGTTCAAGCTCGACTTTGGCAGCCTGGTGGGGCTGCTGCAGGTGGGCGTGCCTTGAGACGGGGGTGTTGCCGTCTGTCTTGGACGGAGACCCGATGCTTCTGATGGTTGGATGGGACGCGTTCCATGCGTTGGAATCTTTGATTGCGTGGGAGAGGGCTGGTGAGGTGCCAAGCGCGGCAAGCGTTGAGCAGCACCACCGCGCGGCACTGGGACGGCTGCTGGAAGGGCACTGGCCGCCGGATGCACTGGGCCGCGCGTGCCCGCCCGGCGCCCCCCCCCCCTGGCACCCCCATCTCAGCATACCTCAGCGCATCAGCGCGCTCATCCCCACCCCGTACCGCCTGGCCCCCCTGCAGCCGGCGCGGCCCTTGCGGCCGCGGCGCAGGGCCGTCCGCAAGGTGTCGGCCTGCGTGCCGCGTGAGACGGCCCTCATAGTCACGATCCAGCGCGCCACAAACCTGCCGGCGCGGCTGACGCTTGCCGGCGGGCGCGCACAGCGGCGGGGGTCGCCGACGAGGGGGGCGGGTGAGCTGGCAGGGCCCGGTGGTGTTGTGATTGGCAGCAGGGGCTGCGGACGGCAATGGAGCGCCCTAGGGCTGACCGCCTGCGCTGAAAGCGTATGCAGTGCCGGCTCGCTTGGAAGCCACGCCTGTACTGCTTCCATAAACGCATGTATTGTCTGATTCCACACAACAAAACCATGTGTGCCTGCAGCAAACCGCGGCACTCCCCTTGCCAGCAGCCGCCTCGCCACGCGCGACAGCCAGCCCGGCGGCGGCACCGGTGCCGGCAGGCCGGGCGGCGCCGCGGGGCCCCGCGGCACGGGCGACTGGGCGGCGGCCGGGGGGGCCGGCTGGGAGGATGTGGAGGGGGACGCGGTCGGCGCGGGGGAGGGGCTGTCATGCTTTGTGGAGGCGCGTTTCAGGGGCATGGTGCGGCGGACGGTGGCGGTCGACAGCGACAGCCCGATATGGAACGAGCAGGTGGGGCGCCGTGCAGGGGAGGCCCGGCTGCTGCTATCTCGGGCGGTCGCGCCTGCAAAGGGCCGCGTTCCCGCTGTGCTTGCGAAACTTCTGTCACCCGGTAACGATCGCAGCCAGTTGCCTGCTTTGCTTCGCATCATTCAAGATGCCCTCCATCTGTAAGTCAAACGAGCCCCAAACCGCCCCTCAGATCCAGCTCAACCTCCTGAACCGCCCAAACATTCCGGCACGCCCCGCCCCTTGCACTTCCGCCATCTGACCATCCGCCCAGGTGGCATTCCCAGTCTTTGACCTCGACCAGGAAGCTTCCCCCATGGCGCTCCGTGAGTCAGACGGCGTCCTAACCCTCAACATCTTCGACGAGATCATGACACCGGCCGCAAAGGAGCGCCTCGAGCGCGAGCGCGACGCCGCCGCGCGCCGCGCGTCCCGCTCGCCGCAGCGCAGAAACGGCGGCGGGCAGGGTGCGGAGGAGGGGGACGTGGGGGACGGCGCCGGCAGCGCGAACGCGGCGGCGTGGGAGGGGCTGACGGAGGGCGGGCGGCTGCCGGAGCGGGAGCGGCGGTTTCTTGGGTGCCTGCGGGTGCCGCTCTCGGCGATCTACCAGGCCGAGAGCCTGGAGGGCAGCTTCCGGGTGGGTCCTGACGTCCTGGCTTTCAAACTGGGGGAGGTCAGGGGCTGATTGGGTGGCTACTGGATCGCCTGTGTAGGCAAGATGCACTGGATCTTCCACCCGCGCACCTGGGCAAAGTTTTGAGCACATGCGTGTGTATGAGCTTTAACGCACACGGCTTAGCTCGCCTGCTTACAAACGCGCGCGCGTGCGCACACTCTCTCTCTCTCTCTCTCTCTCTCTCTCTCTCTCTCTCTTTCTCTCTCTCTGTGTCTCTCTCTCTCTGTTAATATCTCTGTGTCTCTGTCTTCTGTCTCTCTCACTCTCCCACCCACACGCACATACACACACACGCCCCCCAGCATGATACAAGCGCACACCCACACCCTCAACCCTCCCCCCACCCCCCATCTCTGACTCAGCTCGAGGTGCCACCTGTCATCCTGGGCTACCACGAGCCCAGCGGCCGCCCCGCCTCCCTCAGCGCGCTCATCACGCTGCGGCCCCGCCTGGCGGCGCCGGGGCCGCCGGACGAGGAGCGGGTCTCTGGGGAGATGGGTGACGTGGCGCAGCACGCCGCCAGGTGGGTTGAGATATGCTTCTTGTTTTTATAGGACGGAAGGCGTGCAATGCGTGGGTAGTTTCTCAGGAGTGTACTTTGGGCCAACTTGGTGTGGGAACAACAACGATCAGTCGTGTATAGAAGGTGTTCTGGGATCAGAAGCTCCGTGTGCTGTTTCTGGGCATGCGAAATGGTAAATGGGCGCCCAATAGTGTCGTTCCCTCACTTTCAACCCCATGTGTGTCTTGCCCGCAGGTGGGTGCCTGCGCTGCGCGCGCTGCCGCAGTGCCGCAGCCGCGCGGTGCGTGCCATGGCCGTCGACCCAGACGGCCTCGGGACGCTGCTGCCGCGCTACGTCGCGCCCACACGGCTGCCGCCCCCCTTCGCCGACGCGGCGCGCGCGGTGAGCTGCGGGGGACGGCGGCCCCTGCGAGCAGCATGCTAGCCCACTCACAAGCAGGGCCTTGTAACCCACCCACACGGGGCGCAGCAATACATAAGCCCTCCCCTCACATGTTATCCAAATGCTGCGCAGAACTGGATGAATGCGCCTCGCCGCCCTCCCACTCTCAACCGCCGCCCAACTGCTTTCCACCGCCGCCGCCCGATGCCTTGCCTCCAATCGACGCATACTGCAACCAACCGCGGCCGACCGTCGCTGCGTCTGCAGCCCCCCTCCGACCCCGAGGACCTGGGGCGCCTCATGCTCGCCCTCGCGCGCTGGGCGGCGCACCTCCCCTTCCTGGAGGACGCTTCCTTCCGCCGCCGCCGCGCGGACGTGTGGTGCGGCAGCGCCGAGGCGCTCGCGCTGGGCGGGGGGGACCACGAGGAGCACGCGCACCTGCTCGCTGGGCTGTTCCTGGAGATAGGGCAGCAGGTGGGTCCGCTGGTGGGGGAGCGTCGTTGTCGCGCACGATGGGCGGCAGGTGCGCAGCGGGGGGCCGGCGCGGGCCGTGACAGTGCAACGACGCAGCGCAGCCATGAATCATGACAGCTGCGGCGAGGTGCGTCGCGGGCGCCGTTTGGGTGCCGTGGCTGCAACGAGGAGTCGTACGCCGTACTGTGCTGATTGCCGCCGCCGTGCTAGGCCGTGCTGGGCTGCTCTGACCTAGATATGTTGGCAGAGGCGATGCGCTTTGATCGACGACCCTGTATCTCCCTGTCACAAATGTTGAACCTTGCAGGCTCTGGTGGTATTGGGCAACTCGCTCCAGGGGGCAGCAGCAGCATTTGTGCTGACCACGGGGCTGCCGGTTGAGCCAGCAGAACTCCTTGGCAGCAGAGGGGCAGCTGCAATTCCAGTTGTCAGCAGCGGCAGCGCAGGCCAGGCCATCAAACGCGAGGGTGTGCCCGCAGAAGCGGCGGCTGATGCGACCATTGCTGAGAGTGCCGCCCCGCAGCAGCCAGGGTCGCAGCAGCCAGACTTGCAGGAGGCAGGCTTGCAGCAGCAGCAGCAGCAGCAGCAGCAGCAGCAGCAGCAGCAGCAGCAGCAGCAGCAGCAGCAGCAGCAGCAGCAGCCCGCCGAGTCACCAAGTGCGGGCTGGGACGAGTCTCGCCTTCGCCTGTGGAACCCGCTGAGTGGGCAGTGCGTCCCTGTCAGAGACCCATCCTGCGAGTTGAGAGAGGTGAGAGCATATCTCAGCCCTGATGGTTGGTTTCCAGGGTAGTGGATCCAAAGACTCTGCTGCTCCAAAGTCGAGCATCAAAACTGCTTGTGGATGCGCCTGGAATGAAAACAGTATTGCTGGCTGCATTGCTTGCTCTGCTGCTGTGTGCAACATCGTGCTTGAGACCAACCCGGGACAAGTGGTCGCCAAGCTCAGAAACAAGTTTCTGAGTGTGTACATGCACACCAACCTGGATATGAACTGCCCACTGCTTCTCGCCCCCGCCCTTCCCCAAGGTCGGCACTGTGTACAGTTCCTCCAACATCTGGGTCAACGTGCAGGCCAGCGGCGCCCCTTGGGACCTGTCCTGGGATCTGGAGCAGGGCTCGTGCTGGCGGCCGTTCTTCGGGGCCGTGCTGCCGCCCAGGGAGCTCGCGCCAATGCAGGTGCGCACGAAGAAAGCTGCAAGGGGCCCCTGCCAGTGCAGGTTGCTGGGATGGGTGGGGGCGCTCTTGCCATTGACGGTGAGTTGACGGCAATGAAGGCTTCTGTGGTGACTGGCATGCAATCCACCCTTGGCCCATGCAAGTTCATTCACGCACATGCACGCACACACGCACGCGCACACTCACACTCACACGCACGCGCACGCGCGCGTGTTCGCACACACACACACATCCCTACACACACACACACACACACACAAACACACACAAAAGCACACATTCATATATATATCCACAACGCAAACGCGCGTGTTGTCACCCACGCTCCAGGTGCCTCCAGTCTACTCGGACCTTGAGCCGCGCGTGTACGAGGAGCTGGAGGCGCGCGTGGAAGAAACCGTGAGGGGGGCGCTCTACGGTGAGTGCAGCACAGCACTGTGGCAAGCCCTTGATTGACCCGAAAACTGACCAGCTGCGTGCCTGCAAGTCTACGCTGTGTCGCATCGATGCCGCCCTCGAGAGGGCAACAGCTCGCTCGTCCTGACGTCGCCGCCGGAGCCGCTTGCTCACTGGCCACTGCCCTGCCGCGGCCACCAATGGCTCGCCCGCAGACGCGCGCAGCGTCGTGGTGACTCAGCCGAACAACAAGCTGAGCCGCGTGCTCAAGGCGCTGCTGCGGGAGCTGCCCGCCCAGCTGGCCGCCGTCGACGCCGCCAGCCTCGAGGCCAGCGTGGCAATGAGCGAGGGCGCGGCGGCGGGTGCGGGGGCGGAGGCGCTGGAGTACGCGCAGGAGCGGCTGGCGGAGCGGCTGAGGCTCGTGAGGGGGCTGCAGGTGAGGGGGGTGCGCGCTGCCGTGGGGTTCCTGGGCAACGGATCTAAGGCAACGACCACACGGCCTCGGCTCTGTTCAGGCCTGAAACACGTGCAGCGGTCCCTGGTATGCCGGTACCCGAAGCAGCATCCCTTTTGGCTGCTGACCAGCAGCGCACAGCGGTGAGCCGCTTTGCTCAACACACGGGACGGTGCGGCTGCCGTTCACCCCGCAGGTGGCGCACAACGAGCGCGTCGCGCGGGAGATGCGCGGCTGCGCCGTCAACGGCCACGTGCTTGCGCTGCCCTTCAGCGACGGCTGGCGCGGCGCTGTGTCGGAGGCGGTCCTTAACATAGGCGTCCACAGGACGGTTGACCCCCGGGTCAAGTTTGCGATGGCGTCCTATGTGGAGCCCATGGGAGCCTCGTTTGTGTGCTGCTTGTGGGTCTATGTCGCGGCCATCAGGGATGCGGCGTGACCGCCGTGCTAGTGGCGCGCCGCGGGATGGTGTAAAGATTCCAATCCCAACCCCAAAATCCTGCGTGCAGCAGCCGGCTGCGCAGGTTCCTTGGTTGAGACATGTCTGGAAGGGTGCGATCTAGGCAGTGGTGTTACATGGGCAGCAGATGGGCCGGCTGCATGTATACAGGTGTGTGTCCAGAGCAAAGCCTGATCAAATATGGCCGGTCCCTATTGCAGCCTGCAATTGTGCTGAGTGCAGCACCGCACCGCTCTCAAACCGCGGCAGCTTGCTGCGCCCAAAACCCGCCGCTGAAAGCCTTGAAGCCGAATCGCGATGCGCAGCCCTCGGCCATGCCAGCAGCTGCCAGAGGAGGGCCGCGCCCAGCCCCGCCGCAGCCGCCGCCACTGTCCTGGCTCAGCGCGCTTGCCAAGGACGCGCCCGGCCGCGCCGCTCGCACGCCTCAAGCTGGCCGCCGTGCCGCCGCCTGTGCCTCCTCGGCTTCCTCCTCCTCCTCAATTTCCCGCTGCACCAGCCCCGAGAAGCCCCTGCGCGCCGCCTTAACAAAGTCCGCGAACCGGTTCTCCTGGCGCAGCAGCTGGGAGAGCTCGCCCAGCGACTCGAGCTGCGGCTCGCATGACGTCACTGCAGCGGCGGGGGCGCAGAGCGTGTGTGTGTTGCGTGCGCGTGGTCCTTCCGACTGGTGACGTGCAGGTGCACACGCACGGGAGGGCGGAGCGGGGCGCGCCGTCTACCACTGCTCGCTGCGGGGGTCGGCTGCCGCTGGCTGGAGCGTGCTTGCCTGGAAGCACCATCTTTGCCGCTGCGCCTGGTTTGAAGCCCTGTTAGCGTCGATCGCTCGCCTCCTCACGCCCAGGTACCCTGTGTGGCAAGGCTCACCCATGTATGTGTTGTCCTCTAGGACCTTGACGCCAAACGCAAAGCGCCGGGCCGGGTCCCGCGGGTCCACCAACGTGAACACGAGGTGCAGCTCGTCTGGCGGTCACGGGACGCGGCAGTGCAGCAGTGCGGAGGCGTGTGAGTGGGGTTGGCACCCCGCGACCCTCAGTGTCCAGCTGCTCCTTCCTGGGGACGTCGTGATGCCCTTTCGGCCCTAGGCAGAGGCCGTGCGCGCCAGAGTCAACGCCTCCCCGCTGCATTGGTGCCCGCCTCACCGTCCCCCGGCACGAGCTCCAGGCCCAGCACCGACTGGTACAGCCGCAGCACCTTGTCCAGCGCCCCTAGCCGCGTCGACTGCTCCGCCCGTGTCTGCTGCAGCTCTGCAGGCACATATTTTGGTTTCAAGCGCGGGGGTGCAGAGGTTGGTGGCAGCAGTTGCAGACCCTCCGGACGTGGCCCTCCCTCATGCACTGAGCCTCACTTGCTCCGCACAGAGGGTCCCACACAAAGATCTCCGTAGAAGTCATGCCCCAGACACCAACCCCCCGAAGGTCTCCATAGCTGTCATGTCCCAAACACTGACTGGGGTGAGATTGCGCACCCTGCTCCAGCGCCTCTGCGTCCTTGGTCTCTGACTCAAGCTCTGAGCGGATCTGCAGGAGTCGCCGCTGCAGCGATGTGCGCTCGCCGACCAGCGAGTCCGCGACACCCCGCAGCGTGTCGCGCTCGGCGCAGTCGCGAGACATGACTGTGGCAGAGGCGGTAGCAGGCGTGCGAGTGGGGACGCGGCAAATGTGCTTGTTTTGGAGCGTTCAGCAAGGCCGCAACCACCGCTGCGGCGACCTGCTGTGGTTTCAGCAGTGCACTCTCTGCTGCTGCTCGATGCGCCATCCTCACATTGCTGCACCTCAGCCGCCTGCCGTTCCAGCTTTACATAGCGGTCGTTGAGGGACTCGACCTCTCCTGCAGTCCGAGCAGGCCCATGGGGTGAGTGGAGTCACGCTGCAAGCAGCATCGCTGCGGCAAATGTGCATTCGGTGATGCGCTGCACCAGCAAGCTGTGGTCACACCTGCACACGGCCTCACCAGAGGCGACCCGCATGTTGCGTGTGTGCGTGTTTTTTCCATCCTGTGCGGCCTTGTTCGTGGCTGCGGCCCATCGCTTGAAGGCCACCTGCGTCCTGTCAAGCTCTTGCTGCAGCTCGTCCGTGTCTATCATTCTCTTTCTTGAGTAAATGTAACTGTCAGAACCTTATATACGCCTTACGGAGTGGGGACTCGGTGAGCTGATCTCGTTGTTGCCCGAAATGCTGTAAGAGAAGATCGCAACAAGCAAGCCAGATGCGTATCGGTTCCGATTACTCAATTCGACTATTATGCTTTTGCCCCAGAGCTGACAGCAGCGAGCTGCTGCTTCAAATGTAACCCGATGTGCACAGTAGTCACTCGATCGTCTTGAGTCACGGGAGGTACAGCAATGCAGATGTGATCAAAGCATTGTGTTTTCATACTCGTAGTCATACTAGTGCTGTACAGTGCCCAACCTGATCTGACACCGGGCCGACACAGTCTGCGACCCTCCCTTCCTCACAATAACAACCATGCAGCAGCTGAAATTGCCTATATATAGTCGTGGACTTCTTGTGCCCACGCACCATTGTCACGGCAGGCGTAGCATGGCGGCCGCCGCCGGGCGCACCAGTGCGAGCGGTGTGAAAGCGCGCACGCCGGGCCCCGCCCTGCAGGAGGTGCGTATGGGCCTGGCGGTCACTGACGACATCACACAGACACAAGCGCAGACCTGACATGCTGCATGCGCAGTGCTTGAATGCGCCAGCTGCCTTGCATTCGGGTCGAGCAGTCCAGACCAAGCCGCTGCCGCTTAGCCTGCAGCTGTTTGTCATGCTCAACTCAGCTCACCATCGGCAAGGAATAATCCAGACAATACCTTGTAATGCACCATTTTGCAGCTGGACCTGCAGCAGCTGTACTCAGACCCCAGCTATGTGCCTGACCGCCTGATTGGGCCAGTGGAGGTACAGCTGCCTCCTGGTGAGCCACTGCAGCCGCGGCTTAGCAATGATCATCAGCTATGCATAATCATCATCGGCTATGCATCATCATCGGCTATGCATGATGCATAGCCGGCTCGAGGCATGTGATGGCCCCGCAGTTGATCGCGAGGGCCGATGGCGAGCCGGCCTTGAGCGCACGCGCGATGCAATCCTGCTGCGGCTCCTGGCTGCAAGGCGCTAACCGCCTTGCTGACCATGGGCCACCAGCCCCGCTCACAAGTATGCACGCACCTGTCTTTCAATATCGCCAAAGGCAAGACGCGGCGCGTGGTGACCAAGCGCGAGGTGCCACTGGGCACCCTGCTCTTCGTGTCCGAGCCCATCGGCACCGTGGCGCGCAGCGACCCGGGGCAAGCTCTGCTGCCGATGCATCTCATCGACCACCTGCGTGGCCAGCGCCTCAGCGAGGCGGACAGGTGGGGTTGCGTGGAGATTGCCACCGAGGGTTTGTTTTGAGCCTGGAGTAAGCCCTGGGTATGCTCGCCAGCGCTGGCTGCTGCGGCTGCAATTGCGGCCGCAGCCTGCTGGTATGTGCGGTGTGTCACTGGCAGGCCAGCGGCTGCCTTTGCCAATCATGCGCACGGTTCCCTGATGGCCCCAATAAGCCGTAACTAAATATCTCTATCACCGCTTTAGGTACAAGCTGGCGGTGCTGTATGATGGGACGCCCGCGAGCCAGCAGCGCCAGACCAGCTTCAAGGATTTCGAGTTTGCTACAGCCACCACAAAGGCGTGGAAATCCAGGGCCGCCGCAAAGGGCTTCGGCGGCGGCGCCACAGGCAGCAAGCAGCCGCAGGGCCAGCAGCCGGCGGCGGGGGCGGCGGGGGCGCAGCAGCAGCAGCGGGTGAGCGTCGAGATGACGCAGGGGCGCTTCGAGTCCATCGTCAACTACAATGCGTGGGGGTCTGAGATCTCTGACATTGGCGCCGCGCCGGCGCGGGGCGAGAAGTTCAGCAGCTTCGTAGGTGGGCGCTCAGGCCGCACTGCACGAGATGATGCAGGGCATGGCGCATGCCCTGGCTGGCGTGGGGAAGGCGTCAATAACCATAGTGGTGCATGTGAGTCACAGCACACCAGGACAAATTGCATGCCGCCCCCGCGCGTCTGAGGCTCCAAAAGTCATTCGCTCCCGCTGGTTCAGCAGACCAACTGCAACGATGGCCCTCCAACGTGCGCAATGCCCCAACCTTTCCGCGTCCCAGGCATCTGGCCCGAGTTCTCCCTCCTCAACCACAGCTGCATCCCCAACACCACGGCCACCCTCATCGGCGACCGCCTGGTCGTGCGCGCCGCCAGCCTCCTCCCAAAGGAGGCGCAGCTCACCACAAACTACCTCGACACCAAGTGCGGCGTGCCGCTGAGCGAGCGGCGGCGCGCGCTGCAGGTCTCGTACGCGTTCCGCTGCGGCTGCGCGCGCTGCAAGGTGCGTGCGGGAGCGGGGCGCTGGTCTGCTCTCGTCTGGGTGACGACGGGCACCCTGCCGTCTTGCTCCATTCCTCCGCCAACCCCAGCGCGACCCTGCTGCTTTTGCCAGATGCAGGAGCTTTTCTCGCTTTAGCAAAGTGATCGACCTGGATCACTGTGCTCATCGCGATGGCGCCTCGCGCCCTGACCGAAAGCAACCTGCCACTGCGCCCCTTTTCAACTCGGGAGGAACCCATGCCACCCGCGGCCAGCCTCACACGAGCCCCCTACTTTCGTGCACGCTCACACACACCCTCATATCACGCAAAACGCGGAGCAGCTGGAGGAGAAGCTGCCGGAGGAGCTGCAGCAGAAGCTGGAGTCCCTCCACCAGTTGTCTCTTGAAGGCGGCGTCTTTGACGGCCTCGTCGCCGCCGCAGACGCAAAGGACGCCGCCGCGCTGAGCGCCATCGCCGCGCGCGCGACCGCCGAGGTCGAGCCTTTCGAGGCCGCGCTCGGGGCGGCGGGCCTGCAGGCCGGCACCTTGGACCGCGCCGCGGTGTGCGCAGGGGCGGCCGCCTTCTTCATGGCCCTGCAGCGCGCCAAGATGCTGGCCGCCTCGGCCGCGGAGGCGTCCGGCGGCTCTGATGCGGGCGCCGCGGGCGGCGAGGGGGCCCCGCGGGTCGACCCCATTGACCTGTTTGACCTGGTGGAGCTCCTGAGGGTGTACCAGCCCGGGGGTGCGGCGGTGCTGGCGACGGCGGCGGACGCGCTCAGCTACACGGCGGCGCGGCACGGCCCTGGGTCAGAGCAGGCCAAGGCGGCGCTGCAGCTGTTCTTGAAGGTGCGAGTGCGCGTGCTGGAGTGCACTCATGCGTTCGTGCATGTTTGAGTGCGTGCGTGCGCACGTGCGTGTCTGGGGACAGCAAAGCTGACAGCCTCATGAAAGGTGGGGGGATAGGTGCGTGCTGTTGTTCGGTGTCGCCCCTGCAACACCCTGCCCGTCTCAGCCCGAAGCGCTCGGCCCCGAGGGAAGAGGGCACAATGATGGCAGCCAATGCCCCCAAATGTGTGGCCCCACGCGCCCACGCCCCCACGCCCCTACCGCCACCCGCCCCCCACGAG